GTGTGTGTGTGTGTGTGTGTGTGTGTGTGTGAGAGAGCGAGAGAGTGTGTGTGTGTGTGTGTTTGTACTCACTGATGCCTCTGTAACGGGGTGGATTGGCTTTCTCGTCTAACTGTAGTTGAGTCTTCACATACTCTGTAGGAAACGTGATGCAGATTTCAATGCCACCTGCGATTCCACCTGCAGACGAAAGATCAGATAAACATGAACACACTCAAAACACACACAGTGGCAACATTTTGATTAGATTATGTTTCTTTCATAACCACATGAAGCAGCAGATCATGAAATCTATACTCTGATCATGATTTGGTTCAAGTCAATCATTTAGGTATGATTTATGTAGAAAATATTTCAGATAATTTATGTAGAATTGTAGATAATATGACTGATAAAAAGATCAGTCGTTAAAATTTTTTAATGTTTTCATGTCTCTTCTGCTCACCAAGGCTGCATTTATTTGATCAAAATAAAGTAAAAACAGTAAAACATTATTACAATTTAAAATAACAATTTTCCATGTGAACATCTGTTAAACTGTAATTTATTTCTGTGATCAAAGCTGTATTTTCAGCATCATTACTGCAGTCTTCAGTGTCACATGATCTTCAGAAATCATTCTAATATGCTGATTTGCTGCTCAAGAAACATTTCTGATTATTATCAATGTTGAAAACAGTTGTTTTTCAGGATTCTTTGGTGAATAGAAAGTTCAAAAGAACAGAATTTATTTAAAATAGAAATCATTTGTAACATTAATATAAATGTTGTTACTGTCACTTTTGATCAATTTAATGCATCCTTGAATAAAAGTATTAATATCTTTCAGAATAAAAGTTTTTACGATAACAAATATATTATATATTTTTAAATGAGAAATGAATGTTTGATACACTGGGTATTATTACGGTATACAGATAATTAAAATAATCTGTGTTTTTAAAGATGATTTTTAAGGCCTTGTTTTTACAGCCTTAAAATCAGCCACGATCAGTTCATACAGATGCATCAGACAGGATGAAATAAGAGCAACGATCCTCTCTCATCTCTCTAATTGTAATAGCTCATCTGCCCACGGGGACGTTCGGAGAGACCATTAGCCCATCCCTGACCCGCTGCACGACACACACACACACTCTAACACACACTCTCACACACACACACACACACACACACCCCTCCTACAGGTCTGATTCACTTCACTCTTGCTTGAGCAGGTCAAACCGCAGGTCACTCAGACGCAGCTTCACATCGCATGAAAAACACAACAAACATGTGACAGCGATCTGAATCAGACTGCTGTGACTAGTTAACGTTACACTGCTCTGGTTATTGTTCATGGTGTCACTGACGGAGCACATCCTGACACACACACACACACACACACACACACACACCTCACCTCACACATCTCACTGGCACAAACTGAAATATATGAGCTACACAACATGGCTGAGGGCAAAACACTACATCCATCTCACTCACTGTCCCTTTTCTATTTTCCTTTCCACTTTCTTGCTTTAGATCAATGTTTTTTTTTTGCTATTGCACTTTACAATAAGGTTCCATTTGTCAACATTAGAACTAACAATGAAAAATTCTTCTAAATCATTAATTTTTTTAAACGGTTTAAAGTTAAAAATATCTTAATAATGGATTTGTTTCTTACAAACGCACAGCTTTTGTCTTCTCCAGATGTTAACTGATGGACTGGAGTGCTGTGGATTACTTGTGGATTATTATGATGTTTTTATCAGCTGACTCTCAGACTCTCATTCTGACGGCACCCATTCACTGCAGAGCATCCATTGCTGAGACACTGATGCAATGCTACATTTCTCCAAATCTGATGAAGAAACAAACTAATCTACATCTTAGATGGCCTGAGGATGAGTACATTCCTTTAACAAAGATTAATAAATAACAAATGTATTGCTCATTGTTATTTAATGTTAGTTCATGCATTAACTAACTCTAACTAATGCAACCTTATTATAAATTGTTACTAAATATTTTTTCTTACACACTGAGACCTGTTTGGAATGAGGGTGTTTTAAAATCTCTCTCTCTCTCACACACACACACACACGCACGCACACACACGCACACACACACACACACACACACACACACGCACACACACGCACACACACACACACACACACACACAGAGCTGCTAAAGCAGCTAATCAATAACCCCATGAGCTACTGCTGGTTGCTTCACCCAGAAGCATCATAAATCAAGCTAAAGGCCTTTACAAGCTCTCTGACGCGCTCACGTCAGCGTGTGGAAACAGAAACAGAGCGAACGGCAGGAAATTACCACAGACGCCACATCTGAGGCCTGCCAGTGAAACACGACTGATTTACACGAGCGCAGAAATCAGTCAGCACTCTGAGTGTGTTTCTGTAATAACCTGCTGCATTGGAATATCAGTCAAAACACACACACACACACACACACCTTAACCAAACACACCACATCAATAAAACACAAGCTCTCAGCATTCACACAAGATCTACAATCTACAATAATTGTCAAAATCTCCTGATATGTTTGGTTAAAAATGTTAGTTTGCACTAAAGTTTCATCATTTACTCATTCACGTGTCAGTACAAAACCTGTACTTTCTTTCTTCAATGCAGCACAATAGAAGATGCTTTGAAGAAAGTCCATGCTGCTCTTTTCAGTACAATGAAAGTGAATTAGGAAGGATGCTGTTGAGGTAAAAAAAATAGCAGAGAAAATACCATAAAAATATCATAACAATAGTCCATAAGACTTGTGCACTAAGTTATAGTTATATGCTGGCTTATTCACTAATATATGGACTACTTTTGTGTTTTTTTGTTTGTTTTGTTTTTTGAACATTTTTATGTTTGCTTTCTGGAGCTTACCAGCCCTGCACATGCTTTCATTATATGGAAAACTTTTGCATCCACGGAAGAAATAAAGTGATACAGATAATGTCAGAATGCTCACTTTTAATAATCTTTACTGTAAGTCGCTGTTTTAATGAGATGTGGTGATTCCCGCCAGAGGAATGTGTTTCTGGATTTTGGCGTTACATTAAAGGCAGTTGACAGATGAATAATTCCTTTCATGTTTCTTGAGAAAGCAAACGACGACATTACGGCTCTATTAAAACATGATGTTTGATCTGCTCGAGGGCCTCGAGCCGTCGACTCGTGAGCGACTCTCAGGTGGAGAGACAGACGAAATCAACAGGACAGACAGGAAAACAGAGGCAGACGGAAGAAGAAGTGATTGTGAATGAAGGGTAGAGACGCTGATGAGCGGAGCGGTGACAAACCCTCGGCCTCAGAGAGGAGACGAGCACTCGCTGAGCTTAATTGCAGCCTCCCGGCGAGAAGAAGCGCCTGCAGGCGACCGACCCATCACAATAACACGGCTGCATGAAATATCTGAACAATATATCTCAATATATTTGAGCCTTCTGACAGACTTCAATATACAGCAGGGTTCAAACATCTGAGAGCACATTTAAAATATTGTAAAAATAAAACAGAAGCAATTTAAGTGTTATTTTACTATAACTGATATATACTATTAGTTTTTATTTTTGTATTTTTATGTTTTTGCTTTAGTTATTATTATTATATTCTTTTGATTTATGCCTATATAGTTTTTATAATGTTTTTATTTATTAGTTTTAGTCTTTTTAGTACTTCAAGTTAAAGGAAAATGAGAAATGTTGAAATAAGATTGTATTTATATATTTTATTTATAATAATTTTCTATTTATATTATTATTATTTTATCATTTATAAATATTTATAAAAAAAAATGTTATTATTTATATTATATATTTTCTTTCAGTTTACTTTTTAAAATATTTTTTCATATATAGTTTTAATTAAATAGCAAATTATTTTATTTAAAGTAACAAATTTATATATATATATATATATGGCAATTTCACTAGTGATCTTTTGAATATAATGCACATTTACAGTGTATCAATATTTATGTCATTCTATCCAAGTAAACTGAAAAGACTAGAACTAAAACAGTTCAAATCTATTTAAAATAATCAAGACATGTTTTTGCTCTAGTAAATGAACACAAAAATACAGAAAATACAAAACAAAAAATATAGAAAGAAGTACAAAAATGAACCATGCAAATGAATTGTTGAATCACTGTTTGATTCGATTGACAATTTGAACTGACTCACTGGAATGAATCAAAGGTTGCTGAATAGACTGAACGTTTCAGTGTTGTTGTTATATATTTTCATATATCATTCATCCTGATGCAACGTGCATTACTGTAAATATGACAAAGTGGCAGAAGAAGAGCAAGTGACTGTTCCTGCTCTTTATTGTAAGTCGCTCTAGATAAAAGTGTCTGCTAAATGCATAAATGTAAATGTAAAGTGAGGGGCAAAATGAATTTCTGTGCTAACCAACAGCATATCACAGAGTTCAACCTACATCACACCGCCCTGAATGTTCCCTTAAAAAGCGCCATGACAGGAGATCCTACATGTGAACACGTTCTCCTGTCAGACGCTGTAATCTCACTACACATGTGACTATGGAAAACTGCTCTGGAATGCCGTGTGTGTAGCGTGTGAAATGTTTCCAGATCACTGATGGGTTTGTGTGACAGTAAACCAGAGCTGCTCAACAATACAAAACAATACAGAGTCCAGCAGCTGAAAGCACAACACACTCGTACAACACACGTGAAAACAACACAAACACTCCGTACAGGACTAAACCGACCTGAACTGCCTGAACTTCCAGAACCGTCCCAAACAAAAGAGCTTTTTAATCTTAGTTTGAATGAAAAGTACAAATGTATCATACAAACAGAAAAAGCTGTTTGAAAGCACTTGTTCCACACACACACACACATATATATATATATATATATGTATAAATAATTATTAAATAAATGTTGAAATATAAATAAATCGTTAAATACATGATTTAATAATTAAATACATAAATAAATGCATAAGTAAATAAATATTTAAATATAAATAAATAAATGGATGAACAGATGGATGGCTTGATGAATGAATATTTAATTATGATTATGTATTTAACGATTTATTCATATATTTCAACATTTATTTAATGATTTAATTTTAAGTAATTTGGCCCTTCGTAATATACATATATATATATAATAAGACGTGGCATTTCCATCTGAAGGCTGGTTTGTGTAATTACAGACGGGTGGAGCAGCACAAGCTTATATAGAAAGAAAATATCACAGCCATTAAAACCTGTCATTTGGTTTCAGATGAACAGTTTCCAGACGGTAGTTCACACAGACAGGTAAGAGAGAGATCGTAATGACCAAACCTACTTTATAATTGCTCTCAATCTATTCTAAGACCATCATTACTCGGTGCAAAAAATAAGGCCTTGAGTTGCTTATTGCTTTCATAAAGCAGCAGCATGAGTATTGTGATAAAAGACACAGATGTGCAATAAATAGTAAGGCCTACATTTATAAATATGATTAATAATTCTGAAGAATAAACAATTGTTCTGCGAATATGGTTCATTAGCCGATGGTTTATCAGAGTTTTTGACAACTTTGAGCATTGCTCATACAATAAGTCAAAACTGTTGATTTTACAAAAATATTTTTTATATCTTTATATATATATATATATATATAATACATTTTACCTGTGAATACTGTTGTTGGCTCACCAGATAATGATATATACCTGAACTGATAAATCATTAGATGATTTAGATGACAGACAGACAAGACAGACAGACAGACAGATAGATAGACAGACAGATAGATAGATAGATAGATAGATAGATAGATAGATAGACAGACATTCAGAGTTCAGAAATGAATACGATTCACCTCAGATGTGACGTGAAAACTTCAGTTCTGGATTCTCTCTGAGGTTTTGGTGTTTATGTGTTAGTTATGTGTATAAACTGACCTGCCAGGATGGCTTTTCCAGGATGGGTGAGTTTGGCTTTGCTCTTCATCTTCAGTCAGCTCCTCACGAACACAGCGCCGTTTCATCTGCGAGCAGCGCGCGAGCCGCCGATCATAGACTGATGACATGAGACTGCGCTCAGCCAATCAGCAGTCAGATCGGCACACAGGGGCGTGGCTCGCATCTCTCTCTCTCTCACTCACTCACTTTCGGCGTCACGCCCTCCAGAAACCAAAC